CCCTCCGTGCTGTTGGCTGCTACACTACATTAACTCTAGCTTCCACTTTGAGCCAGGGACTTGGAGGATAGATGGGGAGAGAAGGGAGGCCTGACGAATGGGGGAAAGAGACACACACAGAGACCTTAACAATTCAAAACTCAACCCTGTTTTATAAGAAATTATGGAAAATGTTCAAGCTGATTGAGTTTTCTTCGCAAAATGCCAGATTCACTTTTATAAAGTTCGAAAAGCAATGTTGGCATTTTGCGAGGTTATATAAGGTCCTCTAAGAAGGAGATCAGTATTCTCATCACCAATGATCGAACTCTATTATCAAAAGAAACTTGCATACCATTTAAGTCTTAAGAGCAGCAGCGATAACAAAGAGAACAAAATTTAACTTTACAATCATCACGACACAGCATGGATGAAGTTAAAGGAAATGTGGCATCTTCTCCACCAGCTTCATTAAGTTACTAAACTAAGTTCTTGTACTCTGTTGTCTCCCTGAGTTTTCACTGCGGTGGAAAATCATCCAATTACAACCGACAGCTACAAAAAGCAACAGAAGACTAACACATTATCAAATCATGTTTTATCACTGAAATCATCTGATTCAGTTATGGTTCAATCATAGACAGATATAAACATCATTTGTTCTACAGTATCTGTCCAGGGGGTGATTGTAAACATGTACACAATATGCTATAATGTACACCCGATGCATAGTGAGGGCAAGAGTACCTGTCTGCTGAGAACTGTATCCTTGTTGTGGCAATGCTCACAGCGAAAGCAGCTCCTGATGTTAAACTGATTTCTGCCAACTGGAGAACTCAACCCAACACTTCCTGTGCTTTATGACTGCCTGAGCAGAGATTTTGAGGTTCTCTGTTTCTGATTTCCCCAAATTTTAAATTAGCCCCGGGCTACTGCATTGGAAACAGTGGAGCTCCTGCAAAGATCGCTAGTTCCCAGGGAAAGTGGAAAGGCAGCTATAGTTTACAAAACCTGAAGTGACTCAGGCTCATACAGACTCTCTAAAAGTTTTAGAAAATGTTGCAAAAACCACTTAGTTGAAGGGGAATAGCATGGCAGCAGTAATACACTCATCCATATTAGATGAGGATGAAGAGGGCTGGGACTGTGGGGATGCACAGTGTCTTTGCATCAGAGACTCGGGGGAGTGGTTGAGTGAGGTGACAGCGCTTGGGGAAAAAGCTGTTGAGGTGATGGGTGATCATGGTGCTAATGGACCGGTACTGTCTCCTGAAGGAATGTTTCTTAAACAGATGGTTGCCTGGGTGGGCAAGGTCGGTGGCAATTTTACCCGTCTTTTTATCCGCTCTGGTGTCCTGATGCTCCTTGATGGAGAGCAGCTGACAGTCAATGATCCGCTCGGTGGTGGGGGACTACACGTTCAAGCCTCGTCCTTTGAACAGCGGGAAAATCAACCGAACTTGAAGGTGTTTTTGACTATTGATGTGTAAAATTGGACAGTGATGTATCTGTACTTTTATATAACGTAACCGTTATTCTCCACCTCGTTTCTGTGTCACCGGTTTCATCTGTACGATCTTCTTACTTTTGCAGTTTAGTATAATTAATGATAGAACTGTTATGCCTTGTTTAAGATGAATATTATTTCTTTGATAACTTAACTTAAATTGAATGTTTTTCATTTATTGCATCCTTAATTACTAACTTACAATGCAAACTGCAGTGTATTAGATTATTGTTTATAGCCTACACTGCATGAACAAATATCTGACATCGTCCTAAATCAAGTTGACGCAAATTCTTTACAAATACACAGTTTTTATCATGTGAGTTTGAGTGAGCTAAAGGGAGCGAGGCAGTGGGTTTTTGTTTTTTAGGCTGCTCACACAGTGGAGCAAGGTAAATGCATTAGACACACAACCTGTAGTATAAGCTAGGGTGGAGAAAGGATTGATGGTGGCAAATACAGCCAGACTGACCCTTCAGTCAGTCACTAAGGCAAGCAGGCAGATGGAGAGAAGAGCTGACAGGCCGACTAAAAGGTACATGGGCCGACAAAGAGGCCAAAACTACCGCCACGGAAAAAGGCAGAACTTGTATAAAGTACCGAAACAGTTTAGAGATTAGTGTATTGGTGACGTGTTAGTGCAAACTGTACTGGCACTAAGTAATTAGTAAAACGAGCATGGCATGTGGGAGGATAAACAACTTCATCCAAATCCAATGAGTTCTCTACATTGTTTAATTTCTTTTTGATCTGTTGACAAAAGCCTTTTGATTCTGTTGATTTACATAGACTTCTTTTTAACCACCGAGAACATAAATCAGTGTAAAATGTGTGTGGAGCTTGGCACCATTGATTATATATTGCAGTGGCTGTGACAGCATGAATATGGATATTTAAGAATTGAGAGCTAAGCTTAAATCTTGTTTGTGTGTGTGTTCATGCCTTCGTGTGCAATCATACATCTGTCTGGTCGTGTTTGCTCTCGTGCTTATTTAAGCTCTTTATTGCAGTGAAACAGAAGCATGATAAACTAAAGCACAGGATTTAAATATATTTTAAACAAACTTTAGCTGTCAACCGTCGAGTGCTTTTGTTCCGGCAGTAAATAAAGATTTCATACACACTGCATATTGTTATTTTTTGTGTTGCCTCTTATTATAAAGTTAGAAGTAATTCCTATTTTTACTCCACATTATTATTTCTGATAATTAATAACACCAATTACATTTTAATGGCTTGCTACCTCTGTGCTCCTGGACAGATGCACTGTTGTTTGGCCATTAAAGATCCCAGTGTCTCTGTTTGCTCAGCATATACAAGCACAGGTACTCAAAGAGATACAACGACAACAACATCACAATTAGCAGACAAACCATGACTGTAGATCCATGAGGCAGCAGTTCAACGATAACACAGCAACACACACACATCTGCATGCATGCATGTGTATGCCTATGCAGACACACAGGTCTGTTCCTATTTAAAACTCCCTTGTTATAATGGCTTGGCGCCCAGCTGTTGGAGAACTTCATCCGTTTATGTGTATTGTGTTTCTCTGCCTCTGTGGCAAAGAAAATAAAGTTGCAGGAGGAAGAGTTAAACTTTCCACTCAATCTACGATCACCTCATTGTCATGTCCGTCCTCGCCACGTCGCATTGTTGTTGCTAAAAGACTGACAACATCCTCAATCTTCTCACTGTGAGAAAAGGTTTTTTGTGACATCTTCCCGAAAGATCCTCCGCTGTCCTTCCTGAATCCTCTGAACCCCCAGTCTGCTTGTAGAATCAGTGTCAAGTGTGTGTACTGGGTTGTGTGTGTCGTCTTTTTGAATTCATTTATTTCTGAATCAAAGCTGTTGCCTAGCCTGTCTCCTCTTAATATGCTGTTAAACCTCCAATATTTGGCATTGATGCAATCACACCGTCGCCCCAGCCCTCTGGCCCTTAACAGGTCTAATCAATCCAGTTAATTGCTTAGCCATGACACTGGAAATGACGACAGTGTCATCCGTTTTCCGTATCAAATACATCATTAGGTAGTTGCTTTTCATAGCCACACACACACATCAACGACATCATTAACAGCGGTCTCAACCAAAGTGCCTTAATTAGGATTACCTTGACCTGCAATGTAGCTCATTAAGTATGGAGGAGTCTCTTCAGTATAAGTACTGACACCAGCATCCTGGTTTTGTTATCATACAAAAATAACTCTTAATAAAGATAATTATGATGGTTTGGCGAGTTAATTGAAAATCTTGACAGTGGCACGAGTTATTTCTGCTCTCAGGGTCCCAGTGGGAACATACTAGATTCAGCAAAACTGGTTCTTATTTTGGCTTTGTCCTTGATGCACATAACAGAACATTCAGCACTAGGACAGAGAATTCGGGGGCCCCAGGCTCAATATTTTAAGTGAAGAGCATTTATACATTCTTCAAATAAACCTGTCAAATGAATGAATGGCCCATGACTAGCCAAAAAAGTATTTTTAGAGACACAGTCACACATAATGAGTATTAAAGCCTACCTTTAACTTGAAAACTAAATCAAATTGGGATCAAAAGTTTTTTAATTTTTTTATTCATCACTATAAGATTAAAATTTAAGAACACGCTTCATTCACTAGTCTTAGTTCAGAAGGCAGAAGCTTCAATTTACTGTGTACTCAATATTTTTGGTCACCAAGGAACCCAAATCTCAATCATGCAGTTGTTTTTATTTAGATGAGTCATCTTATCTTTGTCTAGACAGTGCGTGTGGGTCTGAATCGATCCATATTATCTGAGTTTAGCTGTCATCACTGTGCTAGAGAGAGCAGTTTTAGATTTTCAAATGATTTGGCCAAGGAGACGCTTGTACAGAAAAATAAAACTCCTAAACAGATCCTTGAGAAAATGAATCAAGAAATGTGAAATAAGGACGAGAAGTGTGGTTGGAAATCACAAATAAACGGCAAGAAATAATTTCCACAATTATTTGAATTATATCAGCACTTGAATAATACATTTTGAAACATAATCACGATGAAATACTTTGTGTTGAAATCTGAACAGCACTAGATTTATTGCAATTAAATATTTCCCTTTGAAAATTGTATTGTATAAATGTATTAGTCTACGGCTCTCAAATCCAGATCAAAAAATTGCATGCCAACAATTCGAAGGCTATAATCAAATGAATCAATTTCATCAAGACTCAAACTCAAACATTTAGATTGAAGATATAACCTTAACAACAAAATAAAACACTTTGTCAGATGTTATTTCATTTCTTCACTACAACCCAGCAAACAACTTAAACCATAATGTTTGTTTTTTGCTACTGATGTATCTGTTTAGTGAATCTATTCATATAGAGAGATAATGATCTAAAGTCACAGTAAAGGTTTTAATATTAGAAATATATGAATGCATTAGCTGTTTATCTGCCTGTTGGATATAATTGTGTTTGTATAATATTTCCAAAAGAATTTTTCGACGGAGCATTTTTATCTCCATCTCTCTTCCTCCAGATATCCGTGGTATCGAGGATTTCCTGGACCGGACCTCTCAGCAGGGAATGGACGTCTCCCTGCAGAAGGTGGAATCTAATATCAACATGATGATCACAAGCCTGTTCAGGACAATGCGTGTGGAGGAGCTGCATCGATACAGGGATACGCTGCGCAGAGCCGTGCTGTTCATGAGCCCAGCCACTGCCAAGGCTTTTATCACTGAGGTAAGGAAGGAGGTTTTGGTCCCACGTTTCTTTTTTCCAGTCAATAATGGAAATGGAAAACACGAGAAACAGTATTTCAAGCTTTCCCCTTCTATAGAGCTGTTAGAATGTTTTGTCGATCTGAAGACTTTGGTACAGAAATAGAAAATAGTTGTGTAGGTCAGTACAGGCCTTCCTGGACCAGAATCAATTAGGAATTGATTTTTTTGGGCCATTTTTTGGTAAAACATCAAACAGAGCATGTCCAGAGTTAAGCAGAAGCCATAGCCTCTGTTGACTATACCTGAAGTTCTAGCAAACAGCAGGATCGACTTTTATCAAGGTTTAAATATTGCATCAAATGAATAAGAATACAAACTCAATTTACTACAGATACACTAGTACACTGTTGTACACATCAACATCCATTCATTAATGATACCGCTCATCCTTTAAGAGACACAGGGAGTCTGGAGCCCTGAACGGGTCCCTGACATATGAGCTGCTTTCAGACATGCACCAAACTGCTGATGATCTCCTGAAATTATCCATAGTGGTTGTTTGTGAGAATGCAAACGTCTGAGTCACTTGCTGCAGACGTTTTGGAGTTTATCATGTCAGCCCCTTGCTAAAACTCTGAATAATGTCATAGTGAGTGTATATGAGAAGAGAGCATGAAAGTCTCTAGAGGATTCTATGCAATGAAGTGGGAACACGTTTTTAACATTTGACAATCTCCAAGCATCATTCTTCATATGTGAAGAGCAAACTCCGGATCCTGAGTTTTTCCAATGGTTCAAAATAGAGACAAATATCAATTCACAATCACACCTACTGTCAATTTCCAAGTCTCTTTATAACCTAACCCCATTATGCATGTCTTGTGGACTGTGGAAGGAAACTGGAGGAAATCCACGCAGAGAACATGCAAACTCCATGCATACATAATCATAACACACACTTTCAAGTGTCCTTTGTGTTTTCAAGGGAGTCTGGAAGATTTATGCTTCACAGGGCCATTCATGTACTACTAATGTGCAGAGTCTCACAGATGTTAATATGATCATCTACAAATGATCTAGATCAGCTAAATATCTCCCTAAACATGGCATTGCCCTCATTTACGTTTCCATAGGACATAAGCATATATTCCTCAGCTCCTCTCAGCTCCTCTCAGCTCTTCACCCCCCGCTAGAACAGTATTTGTTCATAAATGCCAAAAAATTTGATTTTACGAATGTCATTAATCAGATCAAATGTCAGGAACCTTCGTTTTATTCTCAGTGGAGCTCACCTCCCACTACATGATTGATCTGTCTTTTGAGGTGGTCGCTGTTTCAGATGAGGCCGTCACAGACTCATAAATTCTCACCTTTACTCAGCCTGAGACATGGTAGAGTGCATGTTACTGTCTACCTCTCTCTCTGTCACTCTCTCTCTCTCTCTGTGATCTGTGGTAAAGTCAGTATTGATTTAACGTGCACAGTCACAGACGAGGCATACAGCTCATCCTACTTATATATATACATACTATACCCTCCCACACACATTTCCCCTCGCACTCTTTATCTCTGCAGAAGAAGACAATTAGTGTACTTCCTTGTGCTCTTAAACATAAATGATGTGGAGGTCATGGCTGACAGCAATAGGCTCCTGCATTAGTTATGAATTCATAATTTGAAGTGGTAGGATGGGCTTAATCCCGTGTGTCATGTCCTCATCTCGGTTTAATTAAAAGTGACCTCGGAAAGAGCAATCACAATCTAATTTGGTTGGAGGCGTAACAGGGAGGGGGGGTGATAGATGGGGTGTTATTGTGTGTCTGTGAGTGCGTTAGTGTCAGTATTTGTGTGTAGTTTTATGGCCTTGTGAGTGTGGAGACATACTGGAGTGAGTACACCGCGCTGGCCACAGGACTATGACGGAGTGTCTCAAGGTTTCACGCTCTTCGATCACACTGAGGAAATCTTAAACCTGGCTTTAAGTGATTTGTGACCAGTGGAGAGCAGAGAGACACCGAAACAAACCCAATAACAAATAGAATGGAAGCGAGAGCACATATCTCTGCCAAGGCCCCAGAGTCACATTTTAAATTCAATACATCCGCACCGAATTGTACACATGCATACAAATCAGTCTCTGATTTTTTCATCAAGATCTTTCTATTGTTTCTTTAGAAATTCACAAAAATGTTGAAAAGCGCCCTATCCCCAATGTTAAAAAGGTAAAAAAAAAAAATCCTCCATCCGTCCCCTGACCTGCACCAGGTGGTTCTTCCCTCACCCATACCGCATCCTTCCAAATTCTATTTTAATCCTGCTAACAAACAAACAAGATGAAACAGAAGAAAACATAACCTGCATGGCTTCAGGGTTTTGTTTAGGTGTTCAGTGAATGATCAAAACGCAGATTTTCTTATCACATTAAAACTTTTCCCAAACTAAACTGCATGCTCTATTAAATTCAGAGGGTTGTTGTTGAACCAGTGGGTCGACCTATCACAGAGTGAGAAACTATTTAATGTTTCCTCTTTGCTTTTTCAGTGGCTAAGTTGGTTATTCTTTTTATAAAACTATGGCAAAATAAAAAGAGTAGATCAGACACACATATAATAGATAATTTACAATTTAAAATCAATACTATGTGTTTTCTTTAACCAAATTTGGATCATCTCTGTCCCTTCACACATGATTTACTGCGCTTGACCCCCAAAACAGGAGAGATGATTGTTTCGAATAGAAAATAAGGCCTCTGATGAAATAAGGCAAGAATAAACTGAGCAAAGGGCCGAAAATATATTTAGAAACCGAAGATTGAATATGCCGTTATTATCACTTACTCAGTTGTTTTATGAGATCTGATACACAATAGATGTAGAAAATTGGTTTAGCTATTACATAATATAGAAGTGTCGGCCTCCATTTGAGTGTGGGGGCAGAAACCAAAAGAGTTTCTCTCTCCTTCGGGAAGGTTGATAAAGAAGTCTTTTAATCTAATTTAGTCAGACATCAAGTGGAGAGGGGTTTCTGAGATGAAGTGTCGGGAGATGCTAAAGATTGGTGGATAAGATTGATGACCGCATCTCTCCCTCTCTCTCTCTCTCTCTGCCTCCCTCCCTGGCAAGATGGTGAGGAGGGGTAAAGGAGAGAGGGATGGATACAAGGACTGAAAGGGAGACGCAGGCTGGTGGAGGGACATGTGGAGACAGACACAGATTACTAGGACCTTGATTTTTTTTCTCTATCAGATTATTTGTGAGGTCATTTGTCAGAGAGTGCACCTCCCATCCAGATGCATTACGGACGGATGTAAGATACTGACTGAAAGCTGTGCCAAAATTATGTCAGTGGGCAAAAGGAAGTGAGCGGGGAGATGAGAGATATAGCAAAGAGTGATTAGACGACAAAATGTAATGCAAGGAGGTGCCTAAATGTTACTTTATCTATAACATCTGACAAGTAGGTTTTGTTTTAAACTTAAATTACATTTTTATTTTTGTACAATTGTATCCTTGCACAACTATAATTTTCCAAACTGTGTGACTTGACATAAAAGAGAAACAAAGGAAGGAAAGCAAAGTGAGATAAATAAAACAAGGGACAAAATATTTTACAGATGAACACAGAAACAAATACAGGGGAAAGGAGCTTAAAACTAAATGTGGTGAAGAGAAATATGCTATAGTCTCTTAACATACCACTGTACAGACCACTGGCTCTTATTCATTTGTGAAAGTTGTGAAAGTTCTGGGTTCAACCTTCACCGTGTGTAGGGTGGACTAGTTATGTTTTTGTCTAGTTGGTTAGGCCCGTGTCAAATAGCTTGAAATCTGAATCAAAGACTGTATATAAAGATGGACGACACGTCTCTACTTCCTCTCACTGTCCAGAAATGGAGCCAAAATATCCCAGATACTAACGCTGCCATCTTACAAATGTGGAGCCAGGGTCCGTGCAGTAATCACCATGGAGAGGAGCTGCTATGTTGAGGTTCTCCTGATATATGCGCTCTAAAAAATCAGTCACCCTGCTTTTATCGTATCAAACAACTACTTAAAACTAGACTAACTGGAAAAATTAACACTAGAACATACATCAGTGTGATAAGAATTATCTAATGCGTCAGATACTATCTTTGAAAAATATGATTTGACGTGTACTTTGACTTTATAGTTTGGCCCATGTCCCATCCACTAACATGACAGGGTTTATGACTGATACTTGCAATTGAGGCCCTTTGGCTGTCATGTCATCCATCTTCATAAACAGTCCGATCTGAATCCACGAGACAGATAATGCTGAATTGACAGGTTGACCGACTTTGCACCTCCAAGTCCTCATGAGCAAAACTGTAAGAAAGACGGGTTTAAAGCCAACCTGTGATATTCAGATGGTAGATAAGGGTTATTATTAGTCTACTTGATCAACTCTGTCTTATACTGACTTAGGTTCTAGTCTCTCTCCTTGCCTTCCTGTGGTTTGTGTGTTTTATATCACAATCCTCTTGTGAGCCCAGCAGAAAAAGGCCAACTCAACATTTGCTGGGTTCTCGTTAGAATGTCTTCCACCATGCACGTCTTTGCATTTTACCACACAAGTACACCTATATATTCTCAAAACCAAGAGGCTCATTCAGATTTCTGCATTATTTAACATTTCACTGCTTGCCTTTTTCAGTCGAGTGCACGTGGGTGAATGTACCAGTCACTGCCAACAATGTTTCTTGCGGGTACATGTCTCTATTCCACCCACTGCATGTAGACAGAGGCGGAAAGTAGGTTTCTTGCCTTGGGACCACTGTCTTATTAAAAATATTACTTGTCATGAGTTATGGATGTCTATCCTGGACTTAGTCAGCTCATAAAGGACCAATAATGAATCCAAGACGACAGATATCTTTACCGTTGTTGCTATGACATTTTCTCATCGGTGAAATATGCCTGTGATGCTTGGTAACTAAAACATGAGGCAATTAAAATGGA